GTGAGGTGTGAGTGTGGCCGTGGGAGGTGTGAGTGTGGTTGTGGGGGGTGGAGGTGTGAGTGTGGCCGTGGGAGGTGTGAGTGTGGTTGTGGGGGGTGGAGGTGTGAGTGTGGCTGTGGGAGTTGGGGGCCGTGAGTGTGGCTGTGGCGGGTGGGGGTACTATACGGGGAGCCCCTGAGTACAGCTCACCCAGCCTCCTTCTGACTGTGCTTCCCGCTGGGGCAGGGGGCGCTTGGACCGGAAGGCTGCTCCCACTGCAAACTACAAGACTTAAAAAGGATATTTTATTGTCATTAAAAAGAAACATTCAAGACAATCAATGGGCTTTAGAAAATTTAAAAGAACAAAAGCTACCAAAGCTGAGACCGTGGCACCTCCTTCCAGTGAGGCGGGGAGTCCCCCCGACGGCCGAGGCAGGTGCCGGCCACACTCCCGCACGTGTCTCTTCCTGTCTGCGGATTCTGCCTGACATTTGCCCAAAGGCGTGATGGGGGCAACAGGGCATGGTGGCCTCTGTGCAGCCCTCGTGGCCAGCAGCCCCAGCCTCCCAAGGCCACGGCACCCTCTCTGTGGTCTTGCCCGTCCGCCTCGTGCCTCCAGAGTGGCTGCTGGGTCCTGCTGCAGGTGCCCTGGGGCTGGACTCAGCCTCGGGGATGATTCCGGCTGTGCCTCTGCTCCTGGCTCCCCTGGCATCCCTACACGTCTCTACCCAGTGCTCCTGGGCCTCCTCTGTCCTCAGGCCCCACCAAGGCTGATTCTTGCCCACCTGGGACCTGGTCACCAGGCCCTCTAGGTAGGCCTGTCTGGCCGATGCCCACCTCTTCTCTGGGCTGCTCTGGACTCGCACGGTGTGGGGGCTGCTGCAGTGGCCGCGTGGCCCAGGCTCTTCCCCGAGTGGTCTTGGTGGGGTGGGGTGGGGTGGGAGGTGGCAGTGTCCTGGGCCCGGCCCCTCCTCTTCCCAGTGCAGACTCTGGGGCTGTCTGTCCCTTCAGGTTGAGTTCCAGTCCTGAGAATGCAGCAGCGTGAGCAGGCAGCCAAGAGGCGGTGCTGGCACCTGAGACCCTGCTCCGTGGGAGGCGTCTTCCCGGGACCCAGAGAACAGGGTTCTTTAACCTCATTCCTCATGTCAGGAGTTCACGGGACTGCCCAGAATGGAGCCTGGCTGGCTGCGGGCCGGGAGGAAGGCCGTCTGAGCATTCTCCGCTCTCCCAAGCCTCACCAGCAGGGCCCGAGGGTGCTGTAACTTCCTGGCTTGGTGGCGGAAGCTCCCAATGGCCACGCCTGTGTTCAGGAGGCTGGTGTGGACGGGACTGGCTCCAGGCTGGTTCCTGCCTGGGTGGGCGCCTGGGATGCTGGCTGCTGCCCCCTTTTGTGTGAGCAGCTGGGGGGCTGGAGGGCAGAGGTGTCCTGCTGACGGGACACCTGGCCCCAGCGCCCTGCACGCACCAAGCAGCAGAAATCTGCGACAGACCTGCTATGCACAGGCTCAAAGGGGGGCACATCAGGTGTGGCAGGTCAGAGGGCGACTGCGAGGCCGGAGAGCCATGGGGTCGAGGGCGGCGAGGTCAGGGGAGGCGTGGCCTGGGTGGCGGCTGAGCGTGGCCCATGGCTCCTGTGTGGGGTCTGGGCGGCCCTGGACTTCCAGCAGAGGGTGGCCCTAGGCCCCCTGCCCGATCATGTTCCTGTAGTCGGGGACGATGGTCTGCTTCAGGTCCACCACCGAGGAGAAGATCCACTTCACCTGCAGGGCGGCACAGACAGTATGAGTAAGGCCACAGCCCTGCCCCCAGGCCACCCAGGCCACAGCCCTGCCCCCAGGCCACCCAGGCCACAACCCTGCCCCAAGGCCCACCCACCCCTCAAGCCACCCAGGCCTGGACATGGAGAGGAGGGCTAGGGCAGCAAAAGCATGTGCACAACAAAGAAGACGGCATGAGGGACAGCATGAAGATGGTGTGTGGGCAGCACTGGGGACAGTATCAGGGACAGGTGGGGACAGTGTGGGGGACAGTGTCAGAGACAGGTGGGGACGGCGTGGGGGACACTGTCGGGGACAGGTGGGGACAGCATGGGGGACAGTGTTGGGGGCAGGTGGGGACAGTGTCAGGGACAGGTGGGGACAGCGTGGAGGACAGTGTCGGGGACAGGTGGGGAGAACACGGGGGACAGTGTCGGGGACAAGTGGGGATAGCACGGGGGACACTGTCGGGGACATGTGGGGACAGTGTCAGGGACAGGTGGGGACAGTGTGGGCGACAGGTGGGGACAGCGTGGGGGACAGCACAGGGGAAAGTGTCGGGGACAGAGGGGGACAGCATGGGGGACAGTGCTGGGGACAGGTGGGGACAGCGTGAGGGACAGTGTCGGGGACAGGTGGGGACAGTGTGGGTGACAGTGTCAGGGAGAGGGGACAGCATTGGGGACAGTGTCAGGGACAGGTGGGGACAGTATTGGGGACAGTGTTGGGGACAGGTGGGGATCGGGTGGGGGACAGTGTCGGGGACAGCTGGGGACAGCGTGTGGCCAACCTTGAAGAAGGTGACGGTGGCACTGTAGCACACACTCAGCAGGAAGAGTGTGATGAAGATGGTGATGGTCGTCCAGAGCCCGTCCAGCTCCCCATCCTGCGTCTCCACACAGCTCTCCTCTAGTATCAGCTCTGTACAGGAAGAGGGTGGTCAGTGCTGTGTCCCTCTGGGCTCAGGCCTTGGGGGCGATTTCCTCTGTGGTGGGGCCCAGGGTGTACGGTGTGGCCAGGATGGGCCATTGGTGCCCTGAGGTCTGCTACCCACAGCTGCCTGCCCCGTGCACGAGCTTTGACTACGTGGCTTGGCCAGACACCTGGCCCTAGAGAACTGCCTGGCCCTCAGCTGGACCCACTCCCCGTCCCCCGTGCCCCTCCCTGAGGCCCAGAGGGCAGGAGGATGGCAAAGCTCGCCCCCTATGTGACCCCAGCTGCAGGGAAGGGTGGTATTGGGAACCGGGCTGGTGCCAGGGAAGCGAGAAGGCGTGGGTGCCCCTGTGGGTGGGGGCCCATGTGTGGGGGGTGGCTGCAGGGCCCCTTGTGAGGGCAGGGCTGGGTTTGCCTGAGCTGATCAGCAGGTGGACAAGCTGCTGAGAGGCTCGTGGGCCTTGAGGTGCTGCATGGGGCTCGTGGGGGCCCATGTCCAAGGAGTGTTGCTGTGTGGGGACCTTGCTATGGTCTGGGTGCTGTGCAGGCTGCCTGGTGAGGCTCCGTGTGGGGTGTACGTGTGTGTGTGTGGTGGCTGAGTGGCCGGCCAGCCTCTGTGCAAGGTTTGTGGAATGGGTCTGGGCTGTGTGTGAGTGTGGGCTGTGTATGTGTGTGGATGAGTGTGAGTGTGAGTCTGGGCTGTGTGTGTGTGGCTATGTGAGTCTGGGCTGAGTGTGTGTGTGTGTGAGTCTGGGCTGAGTGTGTGTGGGTGTGAGTGTGAGTCTGTGCTCAGTGTGTGTGTGTGAGTCTACTGAGTGTGTATGTGTGTGTGAGAGTCTGGGCTGAGTGTGAGTGTGTATGGGTATGTGAGTCTGTGCTGGGTGTGGGTGAGTGTGTCTGGGCTGAGTGTGTGTGTGTGTGGGTAGTGAGTCTGGGCTGGGTATGTGGGTGAGTGTGTGAGTCTGGCCTGTGTGAGTGTGTGTGGGTGAGTGTGAGTGTGAGTCTGGGCTGAGTGTGAGTGTATATATGTGTATGTGAGTCTGGGCTGAGTGTGTGGGTGTGTGAGTCTGGGCTGTGTGAGTGTCTATGGGTGAGTGTATGTGAGTCTGGGCTGAGTGTGTGGGTGAGTGTGTGAGTCTGGGCTGTGTGAGTGTGTGTGGGTGAATGTGAGTGTGAGTCTGGGCTGAGTGTGTGTGTGTGGGTATGTGAGTCTGGGCTGGGTGTGTGGGTGTGAGAGTGAGTCTGGGCTGTGTGTGTGTGTGTGTGTGTGGGTGTGAGTGTGAGTCTAGGCTGAGTGGGAGAGTGTGTGTGTGTGTGTGTGTGAATCTGGGCTGTGTGAGTCTGTATGGGTGAGTGTGAGTGTGAGTCTGGGCTGGGGGTGTGTGTGTGGGCATCTGGAACAGTCCCTCCCTGGGAGTCAGTTGTGTCCCCATGTGGGTGCAAGGCTGGGTAGGGCTGCCTGGGCTTCGTGCAGCGGGGGAGGTGGGGGAGGGAGGGCCTGTCCCTGCGCACATGGACCAGGCATGCCCCCGAGTGGGCACATGGGGCATGAGGGCAGGGAGTTCATAGAACAGGCCTATCTCCTCAGAGGCGAAGGCTCCTAGGGCCTCTCTTTGTCCAGCCCAGGGCAGCCGCTGCCAGAGGGAGGGGCATGCTGGCCAAGCCCCCCACCCTGCTGTGGGCAGCCCCAGCTGAGCCCCACCCTAGGTGGCCCAGGCACACCTGCACAGCCTGGACCAGTGCAGGGACAGTGGGACCCACTCTGCCTCTCTCGTGCCACTCAGGCCTCAGACTCGGCCTGACCCACGGAAAGAACCATCACAGTCTCGAAGGGGCCCAGGGCAGCGCTGGGTGCTTTATTTCCATGCTGGACGCCTGGGGGGTATGTACATGGGGTGTGTGACAGGCACCCTCGCGGGACCCCGAGAGGCTGGGGAGCGGGGCCTGCCGGGTGTCGCACTCATTTACCCGGAGACGCGGAGAGGCTCTTCTGCGTGTAGTGGTTGTGCAGAGCCTCATGCATCACGGAGCATGAGAAGACGGTCCCCTGCTGCCACCTGTGCTTGTCCACGGTGAGCTTGCTGTAGAGGAAGAAGGAGCCATCCGAGTCCAGCACAGGCTGTGTGTTCTTGTAGTTGTTCTCTGGCTGCCCGTTGCTCTCCCACTCCACGGCAATGTCGCTGGGGTAGAAGCCTTGGATCAGGCAGGTCAGGCTGACCTGGCTCCTGCTCATCTCCTCCCGCGATGGGGGCAGGGTGTACACCTGCGGCTCTCGGGGCGTTCCTGTGGGGACAGAGGTGGGCACAGCGGTCAGTCCCAGGGCAGAGGGTGGGCTGGGCCGGCCTTTGTCCACATGGCCCTCACGCGGCTCCCACCTTTGGCTTTGTGGATGGTTTTCTGGACGGGGGCCGGGAGGGCTTTGTTGGTGACCTTGCATTTGTACTCCTTGCCCTTCAGCCAGTCCTGGTGCAGGACAGGGAGGGCGCTGACCACGCGGTACGTGCTGTTGAACTGCTCTTCCTTCGGACTTGTCTTGGCAGTGCGCACCTCCACGCCGTCCACGTACCAGTTGAACTGGACCTCGGGGTCGTCCTGGCTCACGTCCACCACCACGCACGTGACCTCAGGGCTCCCGGTGATCCTGAGGATGTCCTTGGGTTTCGGGGGGAAGAGGAAGACTGACGGTCCCGCCAGGAAATCAGGTGCTGAGGAAGAGATGGAGGCAGACACGTCAGCACCCAGCTGGGGCCTGTCCCTGGATGGAGGCCCCTCTAGGCACTAGTAACACCTTGAGCTGGAGGGTGAGGCCTGGGCTGGCTTACCTGGGCATGGGGGACAGGTTGTGCTGCAGACACCTGCAGAGACAAGACTGGGAGTTACTGGGGTCTGGGAGGAGAGGGTGTCCACGCTGAGGGAGGGGAGAGTTTGTCCTTTGGGGTGGGCTCAGGTCAGGGCCAGGCTCCTCCCAGATACAGCTCTTGGCAGGCCTGAGACCAGCATCTGCGCCTGTGTGCGCAGGGCCTGGGGTGGGGACATCCAGCCTGTGCCTGCCTGGAGCCTGGTGGAAGCAGCCAGAAGACCCTCTCCCTGAGCATGAGTGGGGCAGGCAAGGCCCATGGGGAGGAGAGACTGGGCCTCTGCGGCTGCTCCACTGTGGCGTGTCCAGGCAGGAGGACTGAGCCTGCCTTCCCGCAGACACCCTCCCTCCCTGCGCAGGCTGCTCACTAGGTTTCACTGTTACGTCCTTCTTGAAGTTGGTGGGTGTGTGGACGACGTTGCAGGTGTAGGTCTGGCTGCCCGCACTGCTGGTGGTCACCATGCTGCTGAGGGAGTAAAGCCCTGAGGACTGCAGGACAGCCGGGAAGGTGTGCACGCCGCTGGTCAGGGAGCCCGAGTTCCAGGACACGGTCACCGGCTGGGGGAAGTAGTCCTTGACCAGGCAGCCCAGGGCCGTTGTGGTCCCAGAGTTGCAGCAGGGTGTCAGGGGGAAGACGTCTGGTTTCTTGTTGGAGGCTGCAAGAGAGGTGGCACCATGTGACCACAGTGTGGGACACAGCTGGGTCCAGGCCCCAGAGGCCCCTCCGTTCCTGTCCTTCCACGAGGGTCCAGGAGGGGTCCAGTGTCTGGGTGTGCACCTGGCTGGTGCCACCTGCTTTACCTTAGCCTCCTCCCTGCCCTGACGCCAAGGTCAGGCCCAGCCTGCCCTGGAAACCTTGCAGACCAGCGGCCCTGTGGTGCCCCGCTGCAGGCAACCCTGGAGCCTGGGAGGCGGGCTCGGCTGCTGGGACAGTGCTCCGTGTCTACTGGGAGTCATCACAGCCCAAGGCCTCTAGCTTGGCCTCGTCTCTGGCCACCGGTGCCCCCTCAGGCAGGGCTCGTGCCCATCAGCCCCATTCCAGTCTTTTGTGGGTGCCTGGCTTGACCAGTGGCCACTGTTCCCCAATGGCTTCTGGTGGGCTCCCCGACCCCCTCAGCTCTGACCCTGCTGCCCCAGTGTGGCCCCCAGTAGTGAGTGGGCCTGACTTGCCCAGGGTCCTGGTCAGAGCCTGCCCTCTGCCCTCTGACCTCCAGGGCCCTTGTCTTCTGTGCAGCGGAGGGGCCAGGCACTGCACAGGCTGGCATCCCTCAGCCCCAGGTCCTGGAACCGCCTGCTTTGGAAGAGCCCCTGGGAGCCTCCTGCTCAGCCTCTCCCCTCCTTTGCCCTTAGCCCCAGTGTGCACCAGCCCGTGCCAGAGCCCTGAGCACCTGGACCTCCCATGCCTCCTCGGCTTCCCTGCATTACTTCCCGAAGTTCAGTCACCGCATGCTACTGCGCAGCTCTGCCCTCCGTCCAGAGCTTCTCCTGGCAAGGCCCCTGCTGAGCTCAGTCCAGGCTCCCCCAGCACAGGTAGGAGCCTCACACCTGCCCTTGCCCTCCCCGCCCTACATGGTACCAGCAACCTCAGGCCCCAGGGAGGCCCCGTTTCTCTCTGCTGCTGGCCCAGTGGCCCTGCAGTCCCACTGCAGGTCGGGTGTGCCCCTGACCTCTGAGGAAGCCAAGTGCCCTGCCCCCAGTCAGGCCATCCTCTCGACTCAGCCCCAGGGCCCTGCCCCCACCCCTTCCCCTCACCCACACCCCAGGCTCTGGCAGGCTCTGCCCAGGCCCTGAGTGGGCCCCTTGAGCTCCCCTCTGCTGGTGCACTGCCCTGTGCCACCTCCACTCAGCTTCAGTGTGTTCATCCACCTGCCCCACGTCCCCCCGGCCCCAGGAGCAGAGCTGGTGGCCCTGGCTCCTGGCAGCCCATCTTGTTCCTTCTGGAGTGCCAGCCTCAGTGGCCTTCCTGGCCAG